GCTTGAGCCACAGGCGCCAAGCCAGTATATTTTCAATTTTTAAGACTCAATCCAAAAACATAAATTTCCTCTGTAACATCACCAGGTTACCCTAACTACTTCCTTCTTTATGCATCCACTAAATTCTACAGCATGTTTATTATCATACCTGTAATACTGAATAGCTCTTTATGTTTGGGTTTATATTATGTATCAACCCTCCTTCTCCCCCCCTACCTCCCCACAATATTGTGAGCTCCTTAAAGGCAGAGACGACATCTTAATTTACCCTTGGATTTCTATGCCTAGCTTGACACACTGTTCAATACACTTTTACTGAATAAACAAATCTATCATTCTACCCAGAGACTAAAATACATACATGTGGTTTACATACAATTATTTAATAATTTAAAGTTTACATACATAGCAGGCACACAATACTTTTCGAACCTATGAACTAAAGTAATTAGTAATCTTAAGTCATCTGCTTAAAAGCCGAGATATGTCTTAATGAACAGAAATCTATAAATGAATTTAGACAAGTAAATTTTTTCCACATCATATTAAGATATCTACACAGAAACAGCTGGCATTCATTTTACAGACATCAAGTCTCCCTCAGTTGTAATAAATTGCTTTTGATTAAGCATTTTAAATGACTTTATGACAAATGGCATATTAAAAGCTAAACTTTATTTTTGCTTCTGGAACAGATACTCTGCAGCAAAGATACCATTGTGATCCTTTCTTTGAATAATGTGCACACTTACCAGTTGCAGCATACAAGCTGCTGCCAGAATGGCAATAACTCGACTGGGCTTTATTAAGACATCATCTCGATACAGGGAACCAAATGCAACTTGCAGTGCTGAAAGGAAAGGTACACATGTGCAATGAAATAATAACTATGTCTATTAAATGTATTACAAAAATATCAACAATGGTCTCCACGTATAAAGACATCTGCCTAAAAATTTGGTAGATACACAAAAGGACAAAAGAAGTATCACTAATTAAAATGCTAGTAATGTTTATCTGGGTGTAGTGGCACACGCCTGTTCCCAGCTGCTAGGGGGATGAGGTGGGAGTACAGTTTGAGCCCAAGACTCTGAAGATGCAGTGAGCCACTTCACTCCAGCCTGGGCAACAAGCAAGAAATTGTCTCTTAAAACACACACACACACACACACAAAATTATAAGAAGGACTTTACCTAACAATTGCAATCAATGTAACCTGGTTCTCTGTACCCTCAATGAATCCCCAACAATTAAAAAAAAGAGTAAATTGCTAATAATGGTTATTAACAGCATTAATTTAACAACATTATAAATTTCTGTTTATTCTAATGAATGTAGCAGCCTTCTTCTAACATCTAATCTTGACATACATCAGTGGTTAAAATGAAGATACCCTTGGAAGAACTTTTATACTATCCTTTGAGTAGACCAATCATTCAAGTATGCAGACGTGGAGATAATCATAGCACTGTGGCTTTCAGTGCTCTGCCACTGGGGAATATGGGACAGCTCCTGGTCCTGTCCATCCCACACTCATGCCCAGCCTCACAGCAATCGATGCCTATTTATCCCCCTCTCCACTGCCACTCTCATCAATGTCCTACATGGTGTACTTGGTAAATATTCTTTTTATTTCCCTTTTTCTGTTGAAGCCTTATGTATATATGTATGTGAATATTCTTAACTTTTTTGTTTGCTTGTATTTTTGGCACTGAGTACTTCCAATGTGGTCTATCAATGAGGGGAGCAGAAGGAGCACTGGAATAGTAATTAGGGTAGCCACAATCAGATGAGGCCCCTCAACTACTTTGAGATCCAAATTACATCCCTGAAATCCTCTGGGCTTCAGCTTCCTCATCTAAGGATTATTATAGCTCTCAAATGACATGCATGACTTATACTTTTGCTGCTCCCAGAAAAGATCATACACAGGGAATAATCAGTGAATATGATTTACCAGATTTTCTACGTAATTTTCTAAAAAACTGATACTTTTCCTTCCTTCACCTACATCTTCCAAGCAGACATATTTACAAAGATAAGTAAACAGAGTGATAAGGCCCACATGACTAAGTAGATTAGGGACAGAAAGAACAGGGCTGATAAATTATGAAGTAAATCAACATAAAATTATCACTTTAGGATGTTAAATGGAGCTTTGTTTTTTTCTAGATTACAAGGTTTGGATATTTATTTTCCACCATAATAAAAAGATTATGTTTTATGACTTTTACATAATATAAATATAGTGCAGTTACCTTCTATATCAATATTCTGGTCAGGAATCTCCAGTTCAATAATATTCATGCTGGATTCTTTCCAAGAACCACTGAACATACTAGAAAAGTAACCAGACTTAAAAAAAAAAGAAAGTCAATGAGTATCCATTACTTTCTGTGTCTTCCAAATTACCTTCCAATTTCTAACTCCAAGCAACTATTTTATCAAAACTAATCCATTATTTTATTTGAAGAGAAAAAGAACTGCCAAATATACCTATAAGAGAAAAGAAATTAAGATAAGATACTACTAGGTTTATCAAATTATACTTTCAGTTTAGTATTATTCTAAACAAAAACTAAAACAAATTCTCATTACTTACTATCTAGACTGAATTCTGAAGACTAGGCATGGTGGCTCATGCCTATAATCCTTGCACCCTGGGAGGCTGAGGTGGGTAGACTGCTTGAGCTCAGGAGTTTGCGACTAGCCTGAACAAGAGCAAGACCCTGTCTTCATTAAAAACAGAAAAACTAGTCGGGCATGGTGACACATGCCTGTAATCCCAGCTACTCCAGATGGTGAGGCAAGAGGACTGCTCAAGCCCAGGAGTTTGAGGTTGCTGTGAGCTGTGCTGCTACGACACTACACCCAAGGTGATGGAGTGAGACTTGGTCTCAAAATAAATAAATAAATAAAATAAAATAAACTGAATTCTGCTATTACTATTTGAACCTGGTTATCTTTTTTTTTTTTT